CCAACAGACAGTCAATCTAATTTATAGTGTTATTCAATGCAATCCTATTCTCAACAAAAGTCAACTTGAACTTTCAAGAAAAGGCTCAAATCTCTGCCCACTTAAACATTATTTTAATATATTGTCATAAAACGGTTCACTGCAATTCAAGCTTTGGCAAACCACAATCTTCAATCTTGGCTTCAATGTTGACTTGATGATAAAAGGGCAGACTTTAACAGAACAGGCCAGGCTATAGCAGAGGGCCAGTACCGTAGCTGGAAGGTAAATTGACTAAACATACAGATGAAAGGCTCCATTCCCTGTGACAATCCAAGATGCCTGTGGCAAAGATGATGCAATTTAGCACCACTCCAGTTTAATCTTATTTTCAATTCTCGGGCAGAATCCCTGTAATGAGGCTTTCTGCTTTGAGAGCAGAATACCGCTCCCTGCAGATGTGCTGTCAGTTCAGAGGCTCCCACGTGATTTGCACTTTTAAATATTGCTTCCCTTTTTCTGGATGCGAAACGAGTTCTTATCATTAAACATGAGCGCTCTCACGTTAAGTACATGGTAGCCTTTTCAGTGTGTCTTTGTGAATGTGTCGTTTCACAGTCAAACTTTTAAATAACGGTCCAGCACATTGAAGCTCTTCAATGCACTAAATCTTAGCTGTATTTTAAATATATTTACTTACAAATATATGAAAATGCTTGCAGTAAGTGATCAAAGTATTGATTCTCAGACTTCACCCAAAAATAATTGTTTTTAATATTTTGTCTTGCCATTGAAAAACTTAGGACTTATCTCAGATTTAGGTAAACCTAAGATAAATGCTTCACTATCACATTTAAGTAATTTCTAAAAACTTTATGAGCTTTCAAGGCACACAGAGCCACTTCATAGAACAATCAAGAAACTATTTTGCCTTCAGTTGTGATAAAAATACTGTATTTAAAATTTGGCCTTTTTATAATTTAGATGCTTTAAATCTGGGTCTCTTTAAGAAACTCTTCAGGAAGTCATCACAACATGGCTCTTCTCTTCATCCTTGAACAATGTTTTTACCAGTGATGCGTTGGTAAAAACGCAACACTGACATAATGAGCTCAACAGATCTGCAGGTCCACCAGATGTTTGCTAATTGCTGCTAGCTAGTCTGTAGGAGCTGAGTGGGGGAGTCACATTTTCGATGAGGAAATAACATTATAACTTGACGTAAAGCCCATGAAAGTACATTTTATATAATACTGTCCCTTCAACAAGTAACCAATATATTTCTGTATGCTTGTATGCACAACCAAATAAACTTTTCCCAATTTTAATGACGCGCTGCGAACACATCGAGTCAGAGAAATAACCAGATCACCACAGCTTAATTAAAGCTTTTTCTAAAAACACTTTATCCCAAATGCTATTTATTTGTTAAATATGACAAACAAACCGATGTGAATGTAAAATCAGCAATTTGGAGACTTTTCCCTCGGTTTCCACACCGAAACATGTTCTTCTAATTGTGCACTGAGAAAATAATGAAGCAGAGTGGCTCACTCTTTCCAGTATTTTCAATCTCCACCTGCATATTTTGATAATCTTTTAGTAGTTTTCTTTTTTTTTTATGGAAAGTAATGTTAATCTTAACACTGTGAATAATTACCCGCAGCAGGCCTGAAAGCAGTGAAAGTCGATCTGTTTCTCTGACATAATTCTGTTACTGTCACACAAATGCCGCCGTCTCTAATTTGGTGTATTCTGATGCGTTATATTTGGTTTTGAGGTCAATCTTTCTAAACATAACCCGTTCGTGCCAGTCTGCTGAAAGCGAGGTTAACATTATATCAGCGGTCGCACTGATGTTCCATCTGACTATTGATGACGTATCAGCTTCTTGAATGAATATTACAGCTTTAACCGCTACCGTCTTCTAGCATCAGATTGAAAGCTAAAGGGTTGCACGACACAAACCGACATTTTAGGTACCCGAATAATAGAATAGAACAAAACAATGCAGAATGTAACTTGGATCAAATTTGACAAACAGGAAAACCATGAAGGTGTCTCTACTGTTCAGCCTCCATCTTCTGTCCATTTGTTATTGGTTTGCTTTGGATGATGTGTCACCCTCAGGTCAGCTCTGTCCGTTTCCAAGGAAATGTGCTGCTGCTTAACTGTATTACTCTGTCACAACTATCTGTGCACTGAACCGGCCCGAGGGGCTAAGAGGTGATTGTTTGAGCATACGGGGGTATACTCATGTGTGTGTGCGCAAGAAGAAAGCAAATCAGTGCAAACAGACTAGCAGATTTCCTCGGGTCAAATGTGCTGTACTGGTTAAGTGGATATCAATGATGCAATAGCCACACACCCACACAAACGCAGGCACATCGTACCTCTCAGGTTCATCTGCCGTCCCCTTGCAGTGAAACCAAGAGCTCTTGAATTATTGATGCAGCTCATGTAAGCACTGAACTTACATGAGCTGCAGGCTAACGTTATACCTAGCAGCCAAACAAAACATTTGGCCAAACTGTGATCATCTCCAACCAGCAAGGCTACCACTACCCACCAACCTCCAGGTACGCAACAGCAGAAGTGGTATTGTAGATAAGCAAATGAGCAGATCAACCGATGTTAGTTTGAACCCAATTAAATCGATGGGCTTGGTTCATCAGCTCAAAGACAGGACATCTGTTATTCCAGCAGCTTTGCCTCTGAGGAAAAATGCTTTTCTGCCCCGTCAAGCCAGAGTTAGCTTCTGCTGAAGAGACCTGCGACCGCTCGACACACTCCGTTTCTTATAGTAGAGGGAGTTATAAAACACCGGAATGAGTCATAAGATGCACATAGCTGAGATACAGCAGATTCAGAAGATATTATCTAGCTGAAAGAGTTATTGGTTTTCTGCTCTGCTTTAAGCCTTGCAATATGTGTGTGGCTGGCAACGGCGACTCTGCTGCAACTGCGCAAAAAACAAAAACAAAAGAAAACATAAAACCAACAATCAGACAGTTTAGTAGTGAAACGGGGGTACTTTTAAAAGGGGATGGATTTGATTTGTAGCGGTTGTGAAAGAAAATGGACTGAAACAGAATTGAGTTTTGCCTGAAAACAGGCATTAAAGCCACTGCTTTACGTGGCGTCTTCTGTTTCTTTTTCAAATTAAACACAATTTTTTAAAAATCAATGAAAAGCTTTACATCACAGCAGCTTCTTATCACACTCAAAAGAAATCCAACTTTTAAGCAAAATGTATTTTATATATTATTTAAAAAAGTTTTAATTTTTAGATTTTATGAGAAAGTGTCAAATCTTGCCATTTGTAATCCATGACTTCCTGGGTCCTGAGATACTAATATGACTTTACAAGGGAAATTATGTGAGGAATTTCCTGACCTATGAAAAGACGTGCAGCAGGATGTGGCCCTGGCTGTGGTTTCACACAGACCAGGATAGCAACTTATATGTTGACATGTGTGCTCCACACACATATCGGACAAGTTATTGAACAATGTCCCCCGAAAACAACGAACCTGATTTCTTAGTGGATCATGGAGCACCTTGCTCAAGCTACCTTATGCTTCTGGAGACTCCATGCGATCTGTAGGGCGCTCTATTTAGAGAGTCTGGGTTGACGATCCCGACTGACACATTGACATATCTCCAGTTACAGAGGCCAGACTCTGAGTGCCTAGAGCCTGGCACCGGGAATGTAAATGGAGTTTCACACTTAAAGAGCTGACAAGCAAGCGACTGATGGCAAATAGCTGAACCTAGAAGAAAGGGTGTGAAACTTCACTGTGAGTGTCCTTCAAGAGTTTGAGAGCTTACCAGACATCTTGACTTATTGTTGTGGCTGTAAAAAAAAAAATTTGCTTTGCACTCGTCATACCCATTGAAACTTTCAGAATTTATGATAAGTGTCATCAATACTCAAAGATGGCAGCATCCCTTTTGGTGAAAATGATATAATTATAGAGCAAAACTGGTTTTCAGATCAGCAAATGTGTACATCTTGTTAGTCAGGAATTCCAGTGCAATTGCGTTTTATTAAGTAATAAGGAGAACTGGTTTGCACAACTTAGAGTACAGGACCACTGGTGTTACAACTCCTATATTATAGCTTCTTTCTAAAAATCTGTTAACATCTGGGAGTCATGAAGTCACAAGATGGACTGCGGTTTGGGATGAAGAGAAGTCAATGTCTAAATTCCCTCACATTTAGTGAGGGAATTCAGCTTCCCTCACTAAATGTCAAAATGTCCAGTGGGCATTGGACAATGCCTCCAATCTGCTCACCAGGATGGGAGCACATGAGAGACTGGAAGTGTAAAAGCGCTTTTACATTAGCAGCAAAGTGTCTACACTTTTATACAGGATGCCAAAGAAGTGGAAAGAAGGCACAAAAGATTCAGATCAAAAATGTCTTCAGCGTCTGAAGTGGCACTGACCACAAAAAGCATCAGCAGGGTTTAAGTTTGACTTTTCTGGGTTTAAAAAGTGTCTCAATGAGATATTCCAGCACCGCTTGTTACAGGTGGTACCTTAGATGACAGGACAGGAACACTGACACTGAATGAACCGTATTAACCACCTGCAGCTCTTCTGATTGCGTCGTGACTTTTGTTAGCCTTTCCCTAGAACTCTTTCTCCGGAAAGGTGTGAACGATAAAAAATGCTTCTCTCCTGAGAGAGCCCAAAATGACAAACCACTCCAATTTCCATTTCCACAAATTTGTTTGTGAATAAATTATCCTCAAACCATCCAGACACCGCGCCAACACTTTGCAGCTGTAATTGCGAGGGAAACAATGCCGATTAGTTAAGTCAGATTCATCTTTCCTTCGTCCCTCAATAGACTGCGACACTTTCGTATGAGGATGAACGAGAGTGGCTGGTAAAGAGCAACAGAAGGCTGAATGTTAGAAATGCATTCTGGCGCCATTTCATATGTGCTCAAGTCTAATGACATAAACAGCAGCAAACAAATAAGAGGGAACAGCTGGTACTCAGGTACTTACGTCTGTGTCGGGCCCCTTATCTGCCCCCGGGCAGGAGAACGTGACCAATTCATGGCACCTCTTGTGGACCACAAAACAGCAAACTGCAGGGCGAGAAAACAAGACAAAGTCAGGAAGGAGACTCGGAGCAGCAAAACATTGAAGAAAGATGTGACAAAAAGATGTAAAAGTCCCTAACAGTGTTTCATAAATGATACATTAAGATGCACCAAAACGTCATGCAAAACAAAGTGAGAGACCTAAAAAATGGTCACTTTTCATATTTTTGAAATGACCAGTCAGCCCTACACATTTGCTCATCTTGCTGTCAAAATTTCCAGTGGGCATTTAGAACGCCTCAAATCTGTTCAAATATTAAAGTCCAAACCCAAATATTAAAGTCCAAACTCAAATATTAAAGTCCAAACTCAAATATTAAAGTCCTAGCCCCCCTTAAAAAACAGGTGTCAACACTACAGACAAAAGGTGTTAAGAGTTGAATGTTTTTTCACAGTTTTAAGGTCACTACAGCGAAGGTACAATCTTCCTTACTGACCAATCTACAAGTAGGAACATCCAAAAGATCTAGAACTAGAATAAAGACAATCTGGAAATGTATGCAACCTCAAGAAAACTTTAGAAACAAATGGAAAACGTTTATAAAGATTTTTCTGGCTATTGTATTAAAAGTGTTAAATTTAAAGTGTTCCTTTTTCTCACTAAAGAAAACCCTTGGATAACCTGCATAGAAATTCAGCTGCTTGTGGAGAAATGCATACATAATGGATATTCAGAACAAGAGGATGAGGCAAAAAAATAAATAAATGAAAAAGATTTGGGAATCCTAACTCGGAAAACAGTAGAGAACAATTAAAGCTTACAAGCTTCGCAAAGTTACCCGATAGCATTGCTCCACTGGCAAAGACGCACAACATGTCTGACCGAAACTGCTGTGTCCGTTGGCGCCATTAGAGCTGAGCACACAAATGAGAGAGGTCCATCTGCTGGATTGTACCTGCACCTTATGGCGCATCAGGTGTCTGATTTTCAACGAGTAGTCCTTAGGTGACTCCAGGAATACAGTTTCTTTATACCAAAGTAATGGAGTGGCTGCCTGGCCCAGAGCAGAGGCACAAACTGAAGATGAATATTGTCCTCTTTCTGCCTGTGGCGCAACAAATATTTTATACTTTGTTGGAGCGCCTTAAACTCAAAGTCGGAAGTTGTGTCTGCTGCCAAACCACTTCATGCTTGGGGTAGAGGGTAATTTGATGGTTGTAGGGCCCAGTTTTTGCCACCGAAACTATCATGATTAACTCAGTACATGATAGATTGGTGTGTCGTCTGCATAGCAGTGAAGTGAACTGATGCATTTACAGAAGCAGAACCAAGAGAATCAGGTACAATGTCAATAAAGCTGAAACCTTGTGGTGCTCCAAAGAGAGTTTTCCTACTTAACAGAGAAGGACCAGCTAAATAAATGTGAAGTGAACGCTGAAGACCCAACGACATCCAGTGGGACGTAACAAAACCAAAACGCCACACTTATTGAGAGCTGACAGGAATTTGTCTTTAATATTGTCGCCCTTCTCCACCACCCAATGTTTCTAAATACACACAGACAGGCACAGTTGGCTGTCATGCATCTACTGAATGCACATCCGGGGCCTCACACTCGAGTCCTTGTGCCTACACGCTGTCAGAGCACACAGAATGGTTCTGTAAGTCTAAGTGCTAGGTCGCTGAGTACACCAAAGCACACAGCCAATGGAAGCAGCTGAGTCAATGTGGAGGAAGGCGCCTGCTACCGAACTGCCTCACACCAAGACGAGACAGGGAGCCGAGGGCCGACTGGGGATCATAAAAGAGAGAGAGAGAGAGAGAGAGAGAGAGAGAGAGAGAGAGAGAGAGAGAGAGAGAGAGAGAGAGAATAATAAAAACTATTTATTTTTTCCCATCTGAGAGCAAATGTGTCTACTTAACTGTTAGTTCTGCTTAAGGACCTTGTTGAAAGAAAACTCTGTTTTGTTTTTTTCTTTGACAAGCTCATGTTCTCAAGGCCAGAGCTCACCTCATGAGATAAAAGCGTCGAGCTCTGCTGTTTTCAATGGTCTTCATTTCCAGTCTTTACAAATGTCTTTCAGTGATTTCAATTACGTCAGCGACGTGATGCACTGGCCTTGGTTGGACGCTTCATTTCATTCCCTCTAAAAATACCAAGATTGGTTCAGAGATTTAAATCTGCTCGGCTTCAGCATCAAACACCTCTGGGCTGTCACTGATTTAGCAGAACTGTTCTTTTTCCAGGGTGGAGAGATCATGCAACTTGCAAGATTTATAAAAGCAAGAGACTGGTCTATAAATTACATTAAAAATTACATAAAAACTACTGCACACGAGGGTCTATAAATTGCAAATAAGCTCAAATGCACACTAACATTGATGCTAAAGACTTCACAATATTGTTTAAATTGACAGGAGTCACAACTATCAGTCGTCGTAAATAGGCCTGTCACCATGACACATCGTGCTGGACGATAAATTGCCCCAGAAGTTACTGCGAGAAACGATAATGTTGCTTTGAGACCTTCTCAAAGTGATACAACTGTAATGGCATAATAATACAAGAACACATCCTCAAAGGTGAAGAAACTTCAAATCCTGATTAACATTTAACACTGGAGCTGGAGGACATTTTAATATCCAAAATAAATTTTAAAAAACCAAAAAACAAATAAGGTCTGCCTAGGTTTCTTAAGGCCACTTCTAAACAACTCTAATTTCTAAGATCTGCATTTAATCTCTAATTATTCGGAAATGTGGCTTCTTTGCCAAGGTTTGTGTCTTCAGACAAAATGAAAATTGATATCATGTTTAGGCATAACTCTTGACCCAGAAAGTCTCATACAAGCAATAACCTAAAAAAAAGAAAAAAGTACTGAAACACAACTGTCACTGTTTTCATTAGAGATATACATCATTATGCACTGAGTGAGGAGCAAACCGCAAAAAAAGACCCGGGGAAGCAAAATGTCCAAAACTTTTACAGTCAAATCAGACAAATTATTTCGTCCCTGCTGTGGTGCCGGTATCATAGTCACCAGTCCATCACAGGCTGATACATGGATATATATTGTAGAAAAAAAAAAGAGAAAGAAAGCACAAATTTGGGATCAAAGTCAGCTGAGTAAAATCTATCTGCGCTCTGTCCTGTGATAAATCTGCATCCACTATTATTAAAAATATGCCAGATAAATGCGACGTCGCTGGCAAATTATTAATCACAACTCCAACCTCATGAAACCACCATGTCTCTTCAGTGTGATAATCTCCACTGCGTTTGGACCACATATTACATTTTCCTCATAAATAATTCACAACAACATGCTTTGTTTGGCACTTAACAGCAACGTCCCGACATCCTGTAGCGGCTTTGATCTATGCTTTTTAATATTCGTTATCTGCTGGATGTGACGAGGTTAGAAACGGGAAAGGAAACGCGCTCCAAACGTTTTACATCGTCACGCCTCGTCTCGCAGTGTGCCGTCGTTGTGGATGTTTGAAATGCGGGCGGCAGAGATCCTGTCAATATTTACCATGTTCTTTGAATTTCAGGAGCCGCCAATTTACTTGGAAAGAAGCTTTACGCCCCACACTTCACATCAACAGGCATGTCTGGTCAAATATTAACGAATGGATTCGACCAGGCAGGAAATAAAAATAACGTCCTTCTCAACAATTCTTAATTAATTTTGAAGGAAAATAAGGCAAAAAGGTGCCACTTTGATTTTCCTTTGCCAGGTGAAACATTCCAGGAAAAATGCTTCACCTTTCTTTGTCTGCGTCGTCGTAAAGCACACCATAAATCGTCTCGTATGAGGGACGCCACTAAAGCGGAAGGTCAAAGGTCACTTCTGCAGCAGAGGATGACTTCATCGCTTTAACCCCTTCAGCGCCAATGACACTATGGCTCATAATGTAAGAGGCCTCAGTGTTTCTGTCGAGATTTTCCTCAAGAAATGGCTACGGCCTAATTGTTTTTAAAGGGAGGGGGAAATTAAAACAAAGGAGAATTGAAATGAATAGCTGCAAGAACGCTGCTTGGGCCAAAAACACCACAAATGGATCCAGACCAGTGGAAATCCATATTAAGACTTAATGAGTGCTTTATTGGAGGCAGAGACGGTGAGCAGATGGTATCTTCACGTGTGATTCTCACTTTGGAGCACAAAGATAAAAGTGTGATAGTGATGAGGGAAAAGCAGAACATTCTGCGTTTCCAATAAACACTTAAATAATTTCAGGTTTTATCGTGTTCAATAAGGCAAAAATAGATTTTCTGGAAAGAAGTTTGAGCGATGGGGTTAAGAATATCTGGTTACACGCTGCCTCATAAGACCGCAATAAACTGTCCTATTATCACAATAAACATTAAAACTAAATGCTAAGCAAATATGGGAACTCCCTCAAGACTCACTCAGGTGACGGCGTCGCTGAACGTGTATTAATGAGCCATTCAGTGAACAGCATAGCCATGTACCTACTGAAACAATCCACTAATTACTGACTGCTCACAGTAACTATGGCAGAGTCTAGATTTATGGCCTGAACCCGACCCCGACCGAAATTAGCTGCTTTAATCAACGTACAGTTTAAGGAGGTGACAACAGAGAAACGCTGAGAAAAGAAAGAAAGAACGTAAGTAAGTAAGGGACGGTCGTTCTTTAGACTGTGACAATGGCAGCAATATATTTTTTGTGCAGTGATTCTCCTGTCAATCACACGTCCCAGATGAATTGCACTTGATTCACTCTGTGGTTACAACAAGCCTCGAGATGGAGCTGGAACACGTTAAACACAAGCTGACTCAAGTTACGGCCCGATCTGTGAAAGCTTAATTAAAATTATATATCGTCAGGTTTACGTCAGGTTTGGGCTGATTAGCTAATTAGCTGGGCACAATCCGTACTGGCTCGGGCTGGGTTGGATATTTTATTTTAGGTAGCAGGCGGGATAACTAACAGTGCTAGGAAAACTGGACTGAAACTTTAAAAAATACAGAGAAGTGTCCAAATCGGTTCAAGAACTGCTTCAGGGAGCCAGG